AGAGTATGTGTTAATTATTAAATTATATGCTTTTCATGGTCATTAAACTAGTAATCTCAACTTTCTTCTATGTTAATAGTTACCACATTGACACAGAGAATGAATCAGCTTAGTGACCAACCATACAAAGTGGAGTGAGTGTATAAATAACTTGAACATATATATATATATATTTATTTTTGGGTTCGTTCATTAATGATTATTGACCATATGACAGGCGTCTTCAACCTCAACGTATACATCTTCGAACAAAACGCGTAAAACGATGTCGTTCGTGTCGTCATATTCTTATCAAACCTGAACAAAAAGCTCAAGCCACCAGATTTAAAATTAAACTTGTTGCCCTGTATGTCTTATTTATTTTTATTTAAATTAATTGATTTTATTAATTAATTAATTTATTTATTTACATCAAAATTTGTCTAATTATTCAATACAGAAATAGTATTCCAAAAATTACTATAACAAGTTTGCCAAAACTTATTCTCAACCAACAAACAAAAATCATACTAAAGTTTTCTAACCCTTTATATGAAGAAATCATAGTTGATTTGGCTTTAAAAGATGAAACCACTGAATATGCCAAGGTTTATTTGCATTTTTTTTACATTTTAAGTCGTAATTTAGTTGTTACAATATTTGTAATCATTTTGTAATCATTTTGTTACCATAGATTACATTACTTGCCCCACATTTCAACATAACTCCTTACAATGAAGTTTGGGAATATGAACAAGACTTCATTACTTCAAAAGGTCGTCCACTTTCAATTACAAGTGCACCAAAAGTTGATGCTGGTATTTACGAAAGGCGTGGTAATTATACTAGTGTTGTAATTGAAATAACGCCATTGGCTGAAATCGACGAACTTAAGGTTTACAAAATTTATTATTTCATAGCCTTTATTTTTTTTTATGTGTTTCGCATTTATTTACATTTTATTCATATTTATATTTTATAGTTTCCTCTTAAGGTAACTTATGTAAGCAAAATTAACGATAGTAATGATAATGAAACTTCCGGGACTTCTGGAGATGCACCAGCTGGCGACTCATCAACTACTACTGAGACAGCGCCATCTGATAAACAGAATACTGATAAGGATGATTCTACTTCATCTACATCAACTACAAAAAGTTTGTCTTTTTGGACCGTTATTGGATTGGGACCTGTGGTAAATCAAGCTACAGTAGGGTCACGACCCAAACCCTAAGTTTAGGTTTGGGAATCGGATTTCTGGATAATAACCAAAACCAAAAAATATGGCCCATTTTTCAATTCAATCATATCAAACAAAT